CGAGTGTGTTGCAAAAACAACATGCCTGAATTATACGAAACTATTAGTAAAAGAGAAAAGATCAGTCAGGCTCCTGACATTTGTAAATCAGTGATGTAAATATTCTTTCCAGCAAATGAAGTAAAACAAAGATCAAAGCCTACTATGTGCTGTAGAATAGCTGAGCACGGTCTTTATTTATTACAGAGATCTTACAGAAGATCTAATCTTGCAAGGTGCTCAACATACTTCCCTTGAACGAAGTATGTTCCCTTGATTCTAAAATGTTTGGCCAGATCTTGCCTCAGACAGCTGCAGAAAGAAACTTTACAGTAAGCCTAGCTGATGAGGGCTCACAGGAAGTTACACTTGCAAAAAGAAATTTGTCATTTAATGAAATAGCTGTTAATTTGCTCAATGTAAATAAGACTTGGTTGTGAAATTCAAAGTAGTCCTTACTTTGACAAGGCTAAATTACAGCCCTAATATAGGGTTGAGTAAGTACTGGAGCAGAACCCAATTGTTTTCTTTGTCCCACTGACTTTGAACAGGAGGGCTCAACTTACTTAGGTATGTTTCTAAGGGTGAGGTTCCGAGCAGCTCAGCTTCTCCTAGCCCACTCCCACTCCTAAGCTTTCACCTCTCACTTTGTACTGCTTCAGGTGTCTTTCAGATTCCCCTCCATGAGGCAAATCATTTCACCACCTAGCAATAAAATAACCAAAGAAAGAAAAGTTTTCTCCTGGGTTAAAGACCTAAGTCAGCTCAGCAAAGATTCCAACAAGAAGGAGTGCAGGTGAAGATGTAGGAAAGGAGGAAATAAAACTTTTCCCATTTCAATAGCAGTGAACCATTAAAATAAGTTTATCTGACTGTAGAACCACAGCCTTGAGGTAGGGCTCACCAATGAGCATCTTTCCATCTCTAGTCCACTGTCAGCTGGATCATGGCATAATTTATTATGAACAACTATAGAATTCTTTATGCTCCAAGTAAAAGAAACAGAGGAAACAAAATTAAATAGATTTAAAAAAAAAAAAAACTACTTTACCACTTTCAACTTCTAAAATTCTCCTGTGTCCAAAGCTCAGAATACCAATAATCATCGACTATGTCTCTTGTACTCAGTACAAGATATTTAACTATAGGGACAAATATATGAAGCTCATATTTCTAAGGGGAAAAAAATCCCCAAGATCTAACACATCAAGCAAAAGTACACACATCATTATATGAAATATTTCACCTTTTCGAAAGAGGAAAATATGCTGTTTGCAGTGCACTGAAACAAACTTAATTACCGCACCTTGTCCCAGCCATAAATAAAATTTAGAAGTCAGAGAAGTTTTTTACACTTTCAGAAGGCAAAAATTTGAAGGAATAGTACAAGTTATTTTAAAATATGCCATGCTTAAAATCAGTTGATTTCTTAAATTGAATTATGGTATATTTAGTTTCTTACTAAATAAAGTTAGAAATAAGATATTAAACCAGAAATTCACTACAGCATGATTTTTGGAAGAGCGATCTTTATGTTCCACTTAATTTAAAAAACAAAAAATTCTTACTAGACCGAATGACAAGTTTTTACTTTACTGGGAAAGAACTAAGATAAATTGTACTGTTTCAATTGAGATTAAAACATTAAATTTAACAATCTGCCAACTTTATTCTCTTTGCTATATCTTCTTTTGGATTATTTCCAAATACTTCCTTTTAAAAAAATCCATTAATTTCAAGATGTCAGCAATTCTGAGGTTTAAAACCTTTTTAAAATCTACTTACAATATCTACTGTCTCGTGTAGATCTATATTTTGTTTTCCTTAAGGAAAAGGAGGAGGGGAAACAATTGAAATCACTAGAAGAATCTTAGACATTAGCATTTTCTTTCAAAATGTTGACATATTATTTATTAAAAGTCATTACCAATTTTATCACTGATTCCAAATGAGTTACTACTTGGGGTGTCTGTTCATGTATAAGATACTAATACAGCCTCAGTGAAACAAAACACTACTTTGCTCGGTACGGTTCTAAATATCTCAAGAAAAAATAAAAACAAAGAAGAACGGATAAAATCCAGTGAAACTTCTCCAGTTTAAAACAAACTTCCCAGATGCACGTTAGCTTATTACTGCTACACAGTAATTACTGTCGTTTTACATATAGTGCTTTGATGAAAAGAATTAAAGTATTACAGAATTTAGCTCTAATTTACTGATATCTGTAAGTAGCAGTCTGGGAGAAAAAAAGATATAGAGGTAGCTTCTCCCAGCAAAACTCAGCGAATCACAAAAGTTCTAAGCAATGGAAGCTGCAAACTACACAAGAAGGAGCATCAGCTTTTTTAGAGCTGAAATCAGGAAGCTAGGCACTGTTTGAAACCAGTAAAAATGAAAAGCTACAGATCAAACCTTGCAGGTCAGAGAATTTACTGAGGAGATTTTTGTTTATATGCTGATTTTACTTCTCATGAATAATGCCCATGCTTCCTTGTTCACTCCAGTTCAATTTGCCTGAGATGACACTCAAAAACTGTCAGACTGAGTTTAAAACTGCAAAAGCGTTATTTGCCCATACTGTGTTGTGTTTGAGGTGCTGAGCTTTAAACTACCATAAAATCTGTATAAACAAGCCAATTCTTTTTATACATGTTCTTAGTCAGCACAAAGATTAGTGAGAGACAAAAACCAAGTGTGCTTTATTTAGATTTCTCAATCTCTCTTTTGCAAGAGAAGTGAGAGAATACATGGAAAAAAATGAAGTTTTGTTTAGTGATCATTTTTAAAAACAGAGTAGAATTTAAATTCAACTTGTTCTTTAACCTTATTTTTTTAAATCTATTTTACCAAATAAACATCTCCAGCTCAACTAAACTCTGCAACTCAACTGTAACAACAATACAGGAGTAGCTTTGGTAAATAGACTGGGTAAAAAAAGCACAAATCTGTTCTTTGTATTTACTCAGAAATTCATCTGCTATTCTGAGGACAAAAATAAACCTTCCTTTTCAAAAACAGCCTTCAAGAGCCAACATCGTGAGTGAGGGAAGCACAAGCCTGTAAAAGACTTCAGCTTGTCAGCAGATGAAATCTACGTGCAAAATCTTCAGCCAGAAATGAGGTTCTCAAAGCTGCTGTGACTAGCCCTGCAGTGAACCTCAGAGTCAGGCATACGCGAATGCTTCCAAAAGTAACAAGAGCCAGATGATAAGTGAACAAAGAAATTTATACAGGACATCATCATTAGGGTTGTATTTCTTAGAGAACATCACACCACTCCACCCCTTGATAAGGAAGGGTTCAGCTACCCCTCTGCTCACCAGTGCCAGCTTCCAGGAAGAAAACAAGAGTTGAGGGGGGAGCAGCAAGGGGTAGGTGGCAAAGCTTCTAGCTAGCTTTGCTGTAGAGAAACCTTCAAGACACAAGGCAAAGCATGACTCAACCACGATCACATGCAGCAGGATCTGCCCAGTTTACTAAGTCAGACGAACCAGTTCATTCATAATCGTGAGTAATTATTCAGATGCCAAAACTATTCACATTAAAAATGTTGTCTTCAGAAACATTTCGGGGAAAGAGGAGGAAGTCCCTCCTAAGGAAGATCTATAGCCATGTTTCCAAACAAAAGTGGGAAACAAGGGAGTTACGGAAGAAATTGGCTAGGCCATTAACACCACCGGATGAAACTGCAGGCAAAGAGAAGGGGAAGAGCACTTGATCATATTTAGGGGTTTAATTTATACAAAAATGAACACTGTTGCCAGCACTGGCTAACTGTAATTAGAACTACGCGTTAGTCATTAACCCAACACACCGAACCCCACCTTCACAATGCCACATCCTTCTTTCTTCAATGGCATTTAAGCACTTAATTCCCTAGAGCTTTACAAATTTCTCAAACAGTGACATCAAGTACAGAAAGCAACTGTACCATAAAGCTGGATGCCTAAGAAACTATGCTGTTCTCCAGTCCAGTGACAAACGTACGCAGCTGGTGAGATGGTGAAATTCTGTTTCCTAGCGGACAAATTAATGGATCTGATGAGCTTATTCTTCAGGAAGAAAAAAGGCAGCTTCCAGACTTTCACCAATTTCACAGTGATGGACAGATGGATGACACAAGGTAGTATTGCCTAGTACCGGCTAGTAAATTACTTGGCTGTATCAGTAGCCACACACAGTGAAAGTGCCACAAGAGTGAAAGTTGAAACATTGGAGATGGGAGTAGATGGGTGGAGAACAAGTATGATAATTACTTCAGCATGAGGACTTCATCAGGTTGGAAGATGAGTCACCACTATCACAGTATTATAGAGGAGTAAGAATTCCGGGCATTTGTCACTTCTAAGGAAATAAGTTACAGGAATTATTTATTCTTACAAATAGTTACTAGAAGATTTGGGATTTAATACTGAGCAAACCTGCAGACTAAAATCACCATCAAAATTTAAATAGTGGCTTTTGCCTATGACTGCATGTCTAGGGCAATTTTCTCCTTCTGAAATGACAGCATGAAGGTCTAAACTACAAGCAAAGTGAAAATATCAGAGGTCTTCAAAGACAATATTTTCTTTATTTCACTCTTTACTGGCTTAAGATTCCCAGTGTAAGCTTGTTCCCAGGTGCAAACAGCTGCTACACATTCATTTGTCCAACAGACACTTGGTTAGATAAATAAACTCCTAATTTTGGTGAAAATTAATATTTTAAGGTCATCCTGAGTGAATTCATAATACAGGTATTAAAACTGACTTCCATTTAACCATATACTGACAAGCTGTTACCTACCCTGGAATTGCACAGGAAGCCTTTAAGCCCACGCACGTTTCCGTGGTTGCCTAACTGACACGCGGCCAAGCTGTAATTGCACGGCTTACCTCCAAGAGGAGAGGGTGGCAAAGGAAACGCTAACTGCTCTACCTGCTAAACAGGAGCTTTAGCCTAGGCTAACACCAAACCAGTAACTTCCAGTGAGCACAAAGCCAGGAAAACACAAAGTGAAAAGAGATTCGACTTACAGTTAAGCGTTGAATAAGTGGAACAGAGAGTAGCCCCATGACGCCATTTTCCACAATTACTCCGAGCCAATTAAAAGTCCCCCAGTACCAAAGGTAGCTCTGGCCTCCATGCCAATAGCTCACAAACGCAAAAGTGAGTGCTGTAGAGAAGAGCCTTCCAAGCATGCTAGCCTGAGATCCTCCCATTGGGACGTAAATGTACCTGCAGGTGAAATGACAGACACACAGTGTTATTAGGGCTTTCATAAAAATCTCAGAAAAGCATCCACTGCAAAATAAACTGGTTATGGAGTAGCATAAAAAACAGATTTGAGTAATTACCTGACATTCTCTATTTATAGAACTTACCCTAGTTTCTGCAACCACGGCTGCAGACCGTTTCACAAAATATTTGCATATACCACTCGGCAAAAAGACTGTTTTGTGGTCAAGGGAACTCTGCATTAGGCAAATGTAGAGGATAAACTATATTCTCAACACACTCTTTTTTTTTTTTTTTTTCAAATGGCAGTAGCTGTAAGTCAGCTCATACACACAAAAAATATAAGTAATCTACCTCGTATGAATTTTGATTAAAAGACTCTTAACGATAAAATTTAAAACATTATATAAAGGCACATTACATAGGCATAACCCCCAAACATATTTTCCATTTGTCAGAAATGTAGACACATGCCTAGAGGTTTTATTTTTAAAAGCTTACAGTTTCTTTCTTTTCAGAATTTACACTAAAAATTTACTAACTAAAAATATTTCCGATGCAGTTCTTGTACTGTGCTCGCAGGATCATGTCTGTTTAATGACCATGTTCCAAAAATTAAAAATAAACCTGCAGTGAAGCACGCTGCGTGCAATTATTTTCTGTATTTAAATTGAATCCAGGAGCCAGAACTCCAGTCTTTAATTGATTACAAGCATCCAGAAAGCAGCATTCGTTCAACAAAAGCCCCAGAAGCAACGGGACTGTGAAAGCTGGCACTGTTTTCCGGTCGAAGGACTGGGTCGCTTCACTTCCCTCCTGCCCAGAGAGCTGCGTCCACAGCCGGCAGCGTCACGAGGAGGCACGGCCGCTGTCCAGGCTTTACGTGAAAGAGTTGCATGGTGCTGCGGAGTCCCTGCAGGCCCGCGTCGTGCAGTGCAGCTACCGCTCTGCTCTCGAGTACCGCCGCAGGACACGCGGCACGCTGCGATGCTCCTTAGCTGTCGCTCCTTCGTTTCTTCAGCGTCACACACTATGCCGATCTACAACTCGACTCCTACTCGGTAAGATAATTGAAGGGTTTCCCCCCCCCCCACCACGCCAAAGAGAAAAAAATCCTGGTAATCAGCTTCAAGGTTCAGAGATAAATATTACCTCAAAAATTTAAAAGGAAAACTGATATAGCCTTTTATTCCTCATCTTAAGAAGTAACAAACCACAGCATTAGGGGTAAATTAAGCGATGAGAGCAATTAAAGGGTAAACGGAAAAGTGATTCAAAAGAAACTTGAAATGCTCCAAATTCTCTCTAGACATAGCATCAATATAGTTTTTTCTTCCACTCACTACAGGGAAAAATCAGGTTACATTTATAGTGATTTTCAGTTTAAATGTATTTTTATAGAGTACACGAAAATAAATACAAATTAATGTCAATAGTTGTCTATACATGTTGTAATTTTCTTCTCTTTCCCCTTCCTATTTTTTTCTCAGGCCTAGTCTTTTCTCTTCTCACACACGCATATATATATATAAAAACTATATCTAACAGTTTTACAATAATATACGCTTGGAATTACAGTAGCCACAGCTGTTTTCTGTCATTAGTCCATGTGGGCAGTGGTCATCAGGTCCAGCAGCGAGAGGTGTATCAGAGCGATCTGTAAGCAGACAGATCCCCCCCAGGGCCTTTCTTACGCTCGGACAGGGAGGGTGAGCAGAGCCCAGCCACACACACGCTGTCCTGACAAAGTCCTGCTACTCAAAGGACGGGAAGGGAAACGGAGGACAAAAGCAGCTCGGCACCTCTCGGGACATGCTTCCACAACTCCTTCCCTCTTCCTTAAACACAGAAAACACTACGTGAAAAGGAATATAGGAAGGACTGCTAATATGGCTGTTGTTAAGGACTGATTTTTTATTTCTCCGGGAGGCAGGCTGCAATTGCACAGCTAGCCTTGCGGCCTAGCTGTAGATGGGCTGACAGCCGGTGTTGGCAGCCTGGCCGCGAGATCGCTCAGCGCAGCGGCCGCCTGCCCCTGCGGCTCTGCTCCGCCGTGGCCGGGCCACAACCCGGCTGCACAGAGACTTGCTCCGGGGAGCCCCTGCGGTTGGACCTTACTGACACTGCCGTTCTCAGCAAAACTCATCCCTTGCCGTACCATTGCCGAAACACGGCATCTAAAAGTAACCCAGACACCCTCCATGAGAGGGCATAGCTCTGTGACAGAAACCTTATTGAAGGCCCTGAGGAAATCTCTTTACTCAGCTCATAAGGTTAAATCCACTGCTCGCAACGTAGCTGTCACTGCAGAAGTAGCTCTGGTTTTCCATACAAAATGTCCCTCTCCTCCCACTGAAAGAGGGAAGCTGTTGCATAGACACCAGCCAAGTGTGTCAGCACAAGCAGCTTCTCTTGTCGCTGGGACCGGCAGCAACAGGCTCAGGAACGCCACGTCACTCCTTTGCTACTGCAGCTCAGTTTAGCTTGGTCTGAACGGCTTTCAGCTTACTGTGCAGAGAAAAAATAGGCTATTTTCTGATTTTTAGTGTTTAACAGCAGCAGTTAGTTAACTGGGCAGCACTTATTCATATTTGGTAAATGTTTAAGGTCAGTGAAATTTTAGCTCCTAGTGAGGCCCACGGTAATCATGCCATTGAAAGTTTGCTTGCACCATCCTTGTAAAGACTTGCCTGAAGAGGCATAGAAGCCAAATCCTGTCACAAAATATTTATTAATGTTTTGACCTTTCTATACAGTACTGCGGAGAGTCTGCCTCCTAGCCAGGTGGAAAAATGCAAAGCAGAAGGCAAAGTCTCCCTCGCTCCTTCTAGCTACGAGAAGGAAACAGGAAAAAGGCTGCCTGACATCTCTTGTGTTCTGGTCAGCACGCCACTAACTGCCTTTAGATGGCTCATGCCTTTGCTTGTCAGAGCATCCCCTAACAATTTTAAACAGGGTATAAGAGTCTGGTGACTGTTCATTTCTTTCAAGCAGTCCGAAGAGATGCTCCGCCTGTCCACATGTTATTTACACAGAAGAAATTTGTTCAAAATCTATAGTTACATTACAGAATCAGCCTTGGTTTGACCACATCAGGCGAAAAGAAAAAAAAAAAGCCACCTTATATACGTACATCATATCCACAATCTATGCTTGTTTTTACATTCTCACATAGACAGGCCTGTTGGCAAGCAAGTAGGCAATTCAGACAAAATGCAGTCGGGGCAAGATCCTGGCTCCATGCCAGCCACTTTGTGCACTCTGATATAACCAAAATCATCTTGAAAAGAACCACAACAAGAGCACTTTTCATTATAAAATGTGTTTTGCTTATATGGTAATTTAGCATCTAATTTCTCAATAATTTCCACGTTTCGGGAAAAAAAAAGTATTCATTTCATTTCAGAAAGCTATATTTATGCTAAAGACAAGTGTGAAGGGGAATAAATCAGTGAGTAGTATTATTAAGCCATAAGACAGAACAAACATTATTATTATCAGTAGGTAACGCATGCATTTTAACTCACAATTATGTTCTAAACAAGCAGAGAAGAATAAATCGTTTACAAGACACTTTCTTCTACCATAGTTTCAACCTAAGGTGCTTCCTGGAGTAAAATGAAATGCTGTGCCCCTTTGGCTCAGGAATAAGACATTATGCATACTAATAGTTGAATGAAAGAAACAGAAACCAGAAAAAGAAGACACAAAGCTGCCGCTATTCCCAGTTCTCCTGATGGCTCAGGTACGAATTCTGGACACATGAGCAAGCTAGAATCAGGTCCGTTTGCCCTATGTTTCCATTCTGTGACTGATACATCATTTCCCTATGTTAGCACTTCATAACTTTTTCAGATACAAGAAACTTGCCCAAAGGTCAAATTCAATTGAGGATGGCTTGATACACAGGGATGCCACTGGTATGTGGTATCTCCTTTTCCAGGATGTCTATCCCTTCTTATGGGAGGGTGCACAGTCTTTGCACCACTTGTAGCATCCAGAATCTCCAGTAACTGGAAACGGCTGAGACTGGAGCACAAGGTAATGGAATTGGGAAGAGAAAGAGTAAGAAAGAGGTTCTTACAGTACCTTAGGTAAATAGCTCTGTCTTCCAGTTCACTAATCAATAAAATCTGAGAGAATGAAATTGAAGCTATTTAATCTATTAGAGAGAGAGAGAGAGAGAGAGAGAGAGAGAGAGAGAGAGAGAGAGAAATACAGTAGTTGCTCTGTTTTCTGCATTTTCCCCCCTTATTTCTCTAGGGTCCTTATGTTAATTAAGGGGCAATGGCTACAACATTTTGATGTCTTGATACATACACATGCTTCTCAACTTTTTAATCAATACTACCTTCTAACCAAAATCTATCCTCTGGTCCTTCTATACTGTGATTAAAAACCAAAAGGTTAATGGTGATGACTATTTAGAAGGCATCAGTAGCTCACATGCAGGAGGCTGACTGAGTATCCTCCAGCTTCATGTCATCCCATGGCATACACTGTTATACACAAGTACGCATTCTTGCACTCGCACACATACAGAGAGATTACTGTAAAGTATGCTAATTTGCTGCACCACATACAGAATGGAATTATGTAAATATCTCATCTTAAGCTCCCATGCAGTGGTTAAGACTATTTCCATCTCTAATCATAGAAAATCCCTGGAGAAGCTAAAAGACAACAGTTTGGGGGCTATCAGCACATAAAACTAATCATGGATCTCCATGGCAGACCAACACAACTCAAAGGAACACCCTCCTAGCAGAATTTCTTAACAGCTCATAAGCAAATTATACATTTACCATAGATGTGCAAGGAAGACAGACTCATCTGAAAAATGCGGTGCCAATGTGCAGCAACTTTATCTAAATTCCAGAAAAAAACAAAACCCACACAGGTTCCTGGTGGTCAACGAGCCAAAGAGGGATAAATGAAGAAAAGCACTAACAAAGTATTTTGCAAAGAGAAGAGGATACTAAAGCAAGCGGATCTGAGGA